CTAGAACTAGCCAAGAAATTGCAGCCAGTCTAAGCGAAGAGCAAGGTTTTAGTCTTGCCTCTTCAAAAATCTGTCAGAAAAAGGTTACAACTCTTGTTAGAACAAGGCTACAAATCATGTACACGAAGGTCTAAGCCGCTAATAAGCAAAGCCAACAAAGCCAAGAGACTTGAATGGGGTCACTGTTACAAAATTATCACCGTAGAAGACTGGAAGAATGTTCTCTTCTCCGATGAAACGAAAGTTGACCGAAGTTCAAAGGATAAGGTGAGTCACTTTTATCGAACAACACTATATATATATATATTGAACATGATATTTTGCAATGTAAATGAAATTATTTAGTTTTTTTTTTTTGTTTTATTTAATTAACAAATTCTCATGTTTTAATGTTGACTTGTGCAGATAAAAAAAAAATAAAAATCTAAATAAATAAATGTCAAATTCTGTCTGATTATCCTTTTTCTTGGAATCAGAATAATCCCGGGATTAAAAAGCTGCCCTTCACCTGGTGCTTGAACATCTAGCATTGGATGTCGTGTCCGGATTATGAGGGAACAGTTAAAAATTAAAATTTTTAAAATACTGAAAAAGATTTTTGAAGTTTTTTTTTAAATTTATATTGAGTTTAATGTAACACAAAAATTTTGTGAATTAAAAAAAAACTGTTTGAAATTCAGTTTAAAATATTGTGAAATGAGGAAATGAATTTTATTTCTTGAAAATACAAAGAATCAGAGTGAAATCAAGAGGTTTCATGACGGGAGGTTTTGAAGTTCCGTAGAGTTTATGATTTGAAGAACTCAATTTAATTGACCTTTCACTGATCTTGTTATTTAAAAAAAACTAAATTTTCGGCTTGAATTACAATTTCATCCCAAATCGAAATTTCGGCCCAAGTCGGACTGACGACCCAAATCGGCCGGAATTGGAATTATAGCTCAAATCAGTGTTTGGTTTTGAATTTCCATGCAGTGAATTGTGGAATCCAATGTTATTTCTTCAAAATTATCATTGCCGTTTTCTAAGCTGAAACAGAATTGCCTTTAGTTTTGGGCCGGAGACTCAATTAGCCACGCACAGGAGCTGGCTTAAAGGTTTGCAAGCAGTGAGGCCTTTAAGCTACTTTAGAATAAAACAGGAAACGTTAAAGAATAATCCTACAATTGTTGAAAAGAATTTAAGCCATTATTTGGAGACCTATAGGATCTTAAATATGGCCTAAAAATACACGCTGCTCTAATACCTATCACGCCTCCAATATAACATGCTTTTTATACGGTTAATACTGCCTCACTTCGCTGGATTTTCTCTCAAAAAGACGTTTGTATCATTAGCACCAGCACCAGGATAATATAAGTCGTAGAAAGGATTACACACACACACACACAAATATATCCTATAATGTTCTTTACACACAATCACACACACACACACACACACACACACATTAACCTCTATATTTGTTTTTTGTATATGATTCATAAATATATATATATATATATATATATATATATATATATATATATAAATTAATTGATTTAAAATAAAAAATATTAATTCATTATTTTCAAAGCACCTTGTTCAATTCATGTCTCCACATAACACACACACACACACACATATATATATATATATTATATATATATATCAAACGTCTAAAACCCCCCATTTTTTAATTCCAACATTTAAAACATCATCTCAACAAGGAGTGTCACCAGTAACAAATCCTTTCCTGCTCTGCAATTCACTGAAAATTTACCCACCTATGGCACTGACATGGTATTCAAACCGCTGAGTTCATAGTTTCAATTATATATATATATATATATATATATATATATATATATACTTTTCTGTTGCAAATGCGAGAAGAATTAAGGTGGGAGAAACCGAAACAGACTTCCGTCTATAGGGACAACAACAAGAATTCTCTGGTCTCTGAGCACTTCAACCAAACTTGTCATAGCGTCGACGATGTCGAGTGCGTGCTGTTAGCGTCTTGGTTCGGTAGCCGGGAGGACAGACACAGATCGGAGTTGAAGTATATCCTAAACGTAAATTCTCCCATAGAGGGACTAAACAGGCTTTTGGGTTTATTCAGGGAGTACAATTTCCACAAGAAAAACCATTATCATTAACACCACTCCTCGAATGAGTCAGCACCCCACCTACCTACTATATTTTATGTTCTACCACTTATAATTTCCCTCATGACACACTATTCAGTAATGGAGGTATTGCCCTGTACACTGAAGGCTACATTATAATGACCCACATTATAATCACCCACTTTATACTATCATTGATTCTATCACTATGGCTCCTGATATTAACTTATGTAAGGAGTGGGGAAGTTTAGTGTAGATATATATTAATCTTGTACATCTATTTATAACTATACATGTATTGTGAATCATATTTGTGCAGTGGCTAGTGTATATTTATAAACTGTTATGTGAACTTATGTACCCACGTGCATCTATATATTTACACGCTTTTCCTCTAAGACTTTCCTTTATTTTTTATTTTATTTTTTGTAACACCTTTGTTGTCAACAATAGATTTACAAATTTGTACCCAAATATTTATCCATTTATGGTCCCTTCCCTTTTTATCTTTTCATTTCATTTTAATTAATAATATTTTATTATTATGCAATACATTTTTTCTTCCTCTTTTTTTTCTTTTTCTTCCTTTTCATCACATCGTATTCTAACCACAGCCCATCTTTCTACACTTGAAAACTTGGTCCACCAATTTTTGTTACAACTTTCTCCCACCCCAGCCTGTAATTCTCTTCATCTCTGTTTGCAATCTTACTCCCCATACGACACACACTAGTAACAGTAGACCGATCAAAATTTTAAATTTAAGTTTATTTATTATAAAATGATTTGCACATCGCGGAATCAGACAGAGATCGAATTTTTGCTACCAATACGATTTCCAGTGTAAAATAGCCCATCTGTCAATGAGTAATTCCTTTTTTCTGTTTATTTCTCGGTTCGTTTATGAAGGACACAGCCGTGTCCAAAAATTCCAAACTTAAAACTTCTCTCTCCGTGCTTCATTTCTGTCATATTGTTAATAATTAATATTTAATAAATGCTTATTGTACAGATTTTATTGGTACCTTTTCGTTTGTCCTTGTTTTATTAAATTAACCTATTTATTTTACACAGAGAGAGAGAGAGAGAGAGAGAGAGAGAGACCCCCTTAACGATTGAGTTCTCTGAGTGACTGGTGTGTTTATGAAAAAAATAAATAAGCCAAAATTCATCCTTCTCTCTACCGGACGTCGATGGCCTTTGTGTTAGAATCCCCAGTTGATACCAAATCAGTGTGGCTAGACACACGACCACTTCAGGTTGGGTTTCGGTCCCGAACTGAAGCGATCGGGTGTCTAGCCACAATGATGAGCTCTGATACAACAAAAGAGTCTGTCTGTGGATAGATAGATAGATAGATAGATAGTTTCATGACAACTGGTCTGATGAACAATCAATAATGGTACCAAACTTTTATGAATTTAAGCGTAGTACTTGCTTAGTGGCATGGCCTCATCATTTTACAGTTGAAATGACTAGATGTAAGCGTAATTAATATACAAATGGTTGCTTCATTCGCATTTCTGGCTTGTGGAATACTGTTCCGGCTTTTTTCAAAGTCAACTTTGATTTTCAAAAATATGATTCAATGTAAAGCATTATCTTCTGTCATCTTCATTGTGGTTCTTTTATAGTCCTCTCTCCTGAATAGTAGTTTTTTTTCTCATATTCTCTAACACTCATTAACAACTTGCGTCCCAGTGGCTTTATTGCATTACTTGGGAGTGAAATGATTAAAAAAAGAAGATAGATAGATATGAATAAACCGAAATAAATATATAGATATAGCAAGGGCAAAAGATAGATAGATAGATAGATAGATAGATAGATAGATAGATAGATAGATAGATCGGAAACTCGGATAGATAGATAAAGAAGATTGATGGATAAAAATTATTTTTATTACCGAACAATCGCTAAGAATATAATGTACAGCGAACAATAACAGGTTCATGCACTAGTCACGTATTTTCGATATTCTGATAGATATACATCAATAAAATATACGTTTCTCTTCTTTTCTTTCCAAAAAAAATATCCGCATTTTGTCATATCCGTTAATCTGATTGTACAGCGTCTAATAATGTTGTTTCCATGACAACACGACTAACGTGCAAAGGCTTTCGTTTGCCCGGATGTGACGTATTCACTTCACTTCGTATTATGAAATAATGTCGTTACATATCGGACAAAGAATGTCGGGAAGGAATCAGAAATGAAAAACATCTGAAGAAAGAAAGATAGAAAGCGATGAATATGATAAAAACGAGAACGGATGGACAACCATTTTGGAAGAAAAAAAAACGAGAATAAAAGAGCATAATAAAAAAAAAACATTTGCATGACAAAAATAAATAAATAAATATGACAAAAGAAGAAAATGTTGAGCCACAAAAATGACTGTGTCTTTTGCAATTTATATGTTGCTATGGCAATAGATAATATTCACTCTGATTGGTCGAACGGACAAAGATTGGAAATGCTTAGTCATTAAATGGCCGAACGATCGCAAATGAAGTTCTCTCAATTGCTTTTTATTTATTATCACTACTTTCTTATTCTTAATACTTCTCTGTGTTTTTTTTTTTTATAAAGTAATAATATTTTTATTTCGTTACCAAGCCGAATTTTGTTCAGTGGAAGCTGCAGTTGAGGCAAAATAATGGTGATGGATTTTGTAGCATCATCTTCGCAAGAAAAGAGAACGTGTAACTACGCCTTAAAAATCATTTTTGAAATCATGATTTTTTCCTCTATTCGAAGTCTCACGAGAAGCGCCGACCATCAAAAGTAAAAATCAAAATCTATTTCTTGATATCATGACCATTAAGAACGTAAAGGTTTATGTCAATCCACAGGTTCCTTTTTCCGTGTACTCTCTGAATGGATTATGGTCATATCACGTCTAAAACACCGGTTTTCGTACGATCCATGAAGTTACGCAACGTTGAGCCTGGTTAGTACTTAGATGGGTGATCGACTGTGGATACCAGGAACTGTAATCTTGGATATCCAGGAGGAGTACTGGATGTTGACGCGGAATTGGAAATCGGACTCGTTATATTCGCGTCTTGGGAGGCACGGTGGAGTAATGGATAGCGGCTTGGATTGAGGAATCGGAGAGCCGAGTTCGAATTCCAGTCGAATCCATTACATTCACTTACGTGCTAATACCCTTGGGAAAGGTGTGAATCCTCTTCTTCTCCCTCCAGCTATGGGTAAATAGCAGAACAGACTGGGTTCTATAGCTTGGATGGCAACTGGTCTAGGAGAAGGAAAACTCTGAATTCAAAACATGCGGAGGGTCGTTTGGGGACCTTGTGGCACGTAGTGCACCATGTCTCTAAATTCAGCTCTTCAAATAGTGTGGATGGTCCTGCACGAAACCTTCACCACTATAATCAAATCTCATGTTCTATACATGTGGGTTTGGGACCGCTTGTGAATTTCAAATTCCCATGAAACTCCAATATTGGATATGGCTCAACCCACCCCGGGTGAATGCCGTTACAGTTGCTTGGAAATTATTAGTGATCGACATCTATATTCTTCACGGTTTTAAATTCCTTGTCGTACGATGCTTATCCTACCCAACACTAGAGAAACCAGTCTCTGGTGTTATTTAACTTATAACTAGTGGACGATTAAATGGGATCATGCCTTTCCTATGGAAATCAACGCGAAAGTGAGCGTAGTAGAGTAGGCCCGAGTTTGAACTCGGTTCACAGATTCCAATTTTCCGCGCAGGGAACAGTTTCGTTAACCGTGCATTAACAAAATTACATCTCTCAGTTAAATTATTCTTCTCTTGGTATATCCATGTATTATGTCTTTTCTTCAAAACATCAAAACATAATAGCTAGCGGATCTTTGAACTGGAATCACTTGCGCTTTTCGACGGAGAAACATACAGAAACGATCTGGAAGGAAATACAAAGCAAAGGAGTTGTTGTGGATTCCGGGTTGAAATCCGGTACCAATAAATAACAAACGCCAGGAATGAATATATGAAAATAATATATTAACGTAATAATACAAACTGGTGAAGCAGGTTAGTAGTTCCAGGGATATGGGTTAGTAGCAAAATATATATATACAGTCTTTTGTATTGAAGTATCGCTGTATGACTTCTTACTGAGTCTACGTGCTCGCTCACTGTGACTCCTACAACGCTGTTACCTCACCCTCACTCTGGACTCGACTCGACTACACTCGACCCCTCGGTCTTGATCTCTCGTGTCTTATGGTGAAATATTTTCTTGCTAGGAAGTAATACACGCTGCTTTTGTTCGTTTACAACTGACTGAGGCGGAAACTGAATTTGTTATTTTCTATAGAATTTTTTAAGTAAAAAACCCTAGGAAAATATAATTCAAACAAGTATTAAAGATAACAACATTATATTAACACAGAATAAATGACACAGAAAACACAAACCAAGATTAACAACGATAAAATGTATTCTTATCACACTAAATGAATTACATAAATTTACTGCTTTGTTTGTCTAATGGTAGCCAATAGCAGGTAAATTATGAGTGAAAGTAAAACAGAGCTCGTTACAATTAAAATTAAGAAGGTCCTAAGAAAAGAAATTTACATTAGCTAAAGAAAAAAAAATACATCTCTGTATTGATTTCAAAGAAACATTTACTACAATTTTTTGTATCATGAAGGTTCGTCCTTTCTTGTCGTGAAAGCGAAAGTTTAGTCAGATTTACACTATTTACATTATTCGGACTATTGTCCACATCTTTGTCGCCATATTTATTACAACGTTTCGGCAGTTGTACGCTCCGGCCTTCTTCAGGTGGTTGGAATGTTGAACTGAACCCTTTATTTCGCTGACTGTGGCAAGACTGTTCTAGTTCCACGTACCAAGTTCAATGGATGTCAATTATTAGTTTTCTCCTGTTAATTACCCTCTCCAAGTTCTCCACTGCCTCAACCGTGTATTGAACTCACACTTTTGTGTCCTGTCACTGGATCTAACCAACGCCTTTAACCACTGCGCCATATATCCTTGTAATAAATATGGCGACATTAGTAGTCCTGGAATGCGGGTTAGTAGAAAAGTATATGTACAAATCTTTGTAAGTGAAGTCGTAATTATGTTTCTTTCTGGACTCTCGTATAACTCTGAGTGAACACCCTGTCTCGATCTTATTGTCACGCTATCGCTCCGTAGTATAAGTATACTTTGGATGAGTCCACAATAGAATACCCCTTTCTAATTCTAGAAATAATAAATGTGCACTCATTGCAAAAATATACGCAAAACTTAACTTCCTAATGGTGACGTATATTAGAACTTATTTTTATATCACAAACGTTTCTTTCGTATTCTTTTCTTTCAGGAGATAGACTGTCATGACTTCTTCATAGAAGTTTTATTAACTGAATTACCAATCATTTTTCCATAGATATCTACATTATTTCCAATTCTGTCATTTCTTGTTCTCATGCTCTTTATCGCACAAGTCCAGATTGCAGTGTATAATGGACATAGTGTACATAATACCTTATCTCAGGAATATAGACAATTAGTCAGATTTGTTGACAAATTCCTGGCTCGTCCAGGTAGTAGCTCTTCAAAGCATAAATAAAGGAAAATACATCTGATATTTTATAAATTTGTGCAACGGGAGGAAGAAATTTTCATCACTCTTCCGTCGTTATTTTTTTTTTATAATATATCCTTATAAAACGGCGAGCCAACCGATTCGACTTGGCCAATCGTGGAAATGGATGAGTACAACTACACTACACCTGCCCTAGTCACAATACATCGACCCTCACACAACCATATCAGTTGATGGAAGCAGTGTCAGTCAGAATTATGACTCGTACGTCAAGATTAAAATAGGATTTCAAATGAAATATGGTGCGAACTTGACAGAAATGATATTTCTCAAATAGACAGACGCAAACATGCAAACGTTAATTCATCCCCAGAGACACAGACGAGAGTGAGGGACACGGAGAGAGAAAGAAAAAGCGACGCGTGTCAACAGATTTCAGAAACTAAAATGGAGTATGAAACTCTGTCACGATGATGGATAAATTGTTATAATTTACATTCCAGGACAATTGTTAAAAAGAACAAAAAGAAAATAATATGATCTGAGTTAACTAAGGAAATGCTATTTTTAGAGACAGATGAATAAATATAAAGATATATTGTTGAATAATCATAGGAATTTTGAAATTATTGTTAAAAATCTTTCGTAAACATTTTTTGTGTATGAACATAATTATTTATTTTAAAGATCGGATGTAAATGAGAAATGGAAATAATAATGGAGATAGATAGATAGATAGATAGATAGATAGATAGATAGATAGATAGATAGATAGATAGATATCGGCAGACACAGATAACTAACTAGTTAGTATGCGAGGTAGATAGACAGTAACAGAAGATAGATAGATAGATAGATAGATAGATAGATAGATAGATAGATAGATAGATAGATAGATGGACAGACATTGAGAGCTAGCTGACGAGTTTCGGTAGATAGATATAAAACAACATAGATAGATAGATAGATAGATAGATAGATAGATAGATAGATAGATAGATAGATAGATAGATATGGACAGACATTGATACCTAGCTAGCTATCGAGTTAACTAGGTAGATAGATATAAAACCACATAGATAGATAGATAGATAGATAGATAGATAGATAGATAGATAGATAGATATGGACAGACATTGATACCTAGCTAGCTAACGAGTTAACTAGGCAGATATAAAACCACATAGATAGATAGATAGATAGATAGATAGATAGATAGATAGATAGATGTGGACATACATTGATACCTATCTAGCTATCGAGTTAACTAGGTAGATAGATATAAAACGACATAGATAGATAGATAGATAGATAGATAGATAGATATGGACAGACATCGATACCGAGATAGCTATCGAGTTAACTAGGTAGATAGATATAAAACCACATAGATAGATAGATAGATAGATAGATAGATATAGATAGATAGATATGGACAGACATTGATACCTAGCTAGCTAACGAGTTAACTAGGCAGATATAAAACCACATAGATAGATAGATAGATAGATAGATAGATAGATAGATAGATAGATAGATAGATAGATAGATAGGTAGATAGATAGATGTGGACATACATTGATACCTATCTAGCTATCGAGTTAACTAGGTAGATAGATATAAAACGACATAGATAGATAGATAGATAGATAGATAGATAGATAGATATGGACAGACATCGATACCGAGATAGCTAACGAGTTAACTAGGTAGATAGATATAAAACGACATAGATAGATAGATAGATAGATAGATAATGTGATATAGAAAGGAATATACTTGACAAGACGAACAACTGCCCCTCATTAATAAACGTAACTGGGTGCAATTATTTCTTTAATTCTTGGTGTCTTTCTTTTCATCGCTCATGGTATTTTCGAAAGAAATATTTCGTATTTTTCGCATTTGGCTGATATGAACCAACTCCATTTCATTTTTCCTCTTTTCTGATTTTTAGCCTTAATACATGCAACCCGTAGTGAGCGACCTTTAAATGATCCACAGTTGCATGAGCCATGCACCTAAATAATGTCTCGAAGTAAACAAGACATTCTTTATAAGAAAAAAAAAAGATGAAAACATTTAATCTAAGCATGTTTAAGGGGTCGGTATATAACAGACAGTTTTTACGTCGGTTTGTCAATTGGCATGTTTCTTAGCAGACCGATTTATTTACATGCAAATGTATGTTTACTTTATTAACTCGACATTACCTGGCCAAGACTGAAATAGTAGGGCACCTAGTGGATATCAAATTCCACTTGGTAATAATTTTGTTATATATATATATATATATATATATATATATATATATATATATATAAATATACTTAGCGTATTGAGCACACTACGTTTTAGTATTTCTACTCGTTTGTTTTTGTTTTTCTTTGGACTAAGGAATTAAAGCACTTGGCGATTCGT